GTTTGGAGCTGATGTTTGCACCTCCTCTCTTCCTTTCAGTTCCTCTGGTTGCTGTTTAAAGAGTATATGTCTTTTCCTGGCATAGGATACCCATGCCAGAACCAAAGCACATCTCTGTTTGGATCGGAATACTGTACTGCATATTCTGCTCCCATTAAGTTTTCATTAACTCACTGATAGTGAAATTTTCATTTACTAGAGTTATTGAGTCTGTCATCTGCACGTCCATAACTGTCTGGTTTGGCTCTGCAACCAAACAAGACAGACACAGACTTCAACGGATAATTAGAACTGCAGAAAAAAACAATTGCTACGAACCTGCCTTCCATTGAGGACCTGTGTACTGCTCTAGTCAAAAAGAGGGCTGTGAAAATATCTACAGACCCCTCACATCTTGGACATAAATTGTTTCAACTTCTCCCTTCAAATGACATTATAGAGCAGTGATGGTTAATCTTTTTCTAAAAGTGTGACAAAACTGTGTATGTGCATGCGCTATTGCGTGTGTGGTGTGCCCACCAACCTGCGCATGTGCGAGAGCAACCCCCTACCGCCCATGTCCAAGCGACCCCTGGGGGGGGATTTTCGCCCTCCCCAGGTTCCGGAGGCTTTCCTGAGGGCCTCTGGAGAGCTGTTGGGCCATTTTCGCCCTCCTTAGGCTTTAGGAAAGCCTACGGAGCCTGGGGAGGGCAAAAAACAGGCCCAGTAGGCCAACCGGAAGTTCGCTCCTGAACTTTCGGTTGGTCCTCTATTCTATTAAAACTTGCCTTTTCTCCAGGCCAGTCTATGAAGTGATTATATAGATTTAGTGGAAACAAGAATAATTTACAGATGTAAAAAGGTATGGAGAGGAACTGAGTAAGATAACAATCTAAATGTACCCTCTTAGTTATATTTTATTATCTCATGCCTTTAATTTCTTTGGCATATTTCTTACTACTAGTCTCTGCTTTGTATAATTTTTCTCTATTCCAAATGGCAATAGTTGACAGGTTTATATGTATATATGTTTATGAATCAACTGTCTAAATTCTGACCCAGATGAAGAAAACTTGATAGATACTTTCAGACAAGACGAATGTATTAAATGCAAGAAAGACAGGCTTGGACCAAAACACTTTTGGAAGGATAAACAAGATTTGATGGTAAATCTTGAAGTAAAAACTTAAAGTCATGTGGAAAAAAAATGAATGATAGAAGATTCAAGATAGACAAAAAAATATCCTTTGCACAGCATATATTCTGCATATAGAATTACTTTCCCTGAGATGTAGCAATGGCTACCAAGCTGGACAACTTTAAAAGGGGATTAAACAAATTAATGGAGGATAATACGATTAATGATGCTTGTATGCTTCTTTCAGGTCTGAGGTAGCATGCCTCTGACTGCCAGTCATTGGGGAACAATAGCAGAGAAAGACTGTTGCTTTCATGGCCTGTTTACAGTATGTATTCCCACAGGAACTATAGGCACAGGATGCTACAGTAGGCAGCTTTTTAGCCTGATCCAGCAGAGTTGCCTTTAATACTACATTAAGAAAATAATGTTCATCTAAATTGAGCCATGTGTTTACAAGGAAGCTATCACAAAATTAAGAGTAACAAAGGTACTCTATCATGATTATTGTATGAATGTTGTTTGGGGGAGAAGATGCATTCATTGTTCTCTTTGTACAAACATGGATCTGCACATATGTTGTCAAAGCAATCTCTAAATCTAAATGCTAATCAGACCTGCATTTCATGGAATTCCAAAAAGCGAAAACTTTTAAGCCTGAGTTTGCGTCTTCACTTAGCTCTCACATCAAAGTCCAAAGTCATATAATCTTAGATTTTAAAAAAGCTGTCCCAAAGCATTTCCAACGTAGGTAAAAGGACTAGATTATTGTGGTAGTCATAAGGGATTAATTCAAAGTATAAAATACTCTAAGTCAGTCTGTTACAGATATTGTTTCAACACTTGAAAATTCTTAGGCTGAGGTCCCCAGCCAGTCCCAATGGCACTGGTCAAGGCTGATTGCAGATTCAATCTGATGGTCTAGTCCCAAGATGTTGCTCAAAGCAGCCTGTCACCTTTCCCCTTCTGTTTGACTGTCACTGTTGACTTGAAGACCATATTACTATGTCAGGAATGAATATCTAGATTTACAAGTCAGAATGGAAAAAGCCAGTTCAGCTTGAAGAGATTAGGTTTTAATTAGCTAAACACTTTATTGTGTTTAGCATGGAAACTAGCCTGGTTATACTTATATATTTGACCTAAATTTGAAATGAGTAATAATACTATGTGTGTTTCTGTCCAGGATTCCTGTATGGCTACCTTTCTCTCCTCTAAGATATTTGGATTATTGTACACTGCTGTACATGAGGTTGCCTTTTAAAAGACCATTCAGAAACTGCAGGTAGTTTCCCAACTTGCAACCACAATTGAGCCCAAAATTTCTTTTGCTAAGTCAAACATTTGTTAAGTGAGTTTTGCCCCATTTTACGACCTTTCTTGCCACAGTTGTTAAGTGAATCTGGCTTCCCTGTTGACTTTTCTTGTCAAAAGGTCACAAAAGGTGATCACATGACCCAGGACACTGCAACCATCAGAAATATGAGTCAGTTGCCAAGCATCTGGCTTTCGATCACATGACTACAGGGATGCTGCAGTGGTCATAAGTGTGAAAACGGTCATAAATCACTATTTTCAATGCTGTTGTAACTTTGAATGGTCAATTAATGAACTGTTGTAAGTCGTGGAGTACCTGTAACAAGAA